CTTAAAGGTCACAGATTACAGAAATTTACTCCTACATCTGTCTTCCTGAAGTGTCTGAACAAAATGTTACTGAATGACACTGGCAGTGCTTCAGTTATAGCCTATCCACACTTTTACTTTACAAAATAGCACCAAATAACCACATGCAGCTGAAGCTTTGGCCCTGACCTCTTTTAAGGTGAATAAACTTAACAAGATGACATTGTTAGGTATTCTTAGACACAGGAGAGGGAATATAACACAATTCTGGCCAACACACTACCGCAGGATTCACAGCCGGCAAAGAGTTTGTACATTTCAGGCCATGGTTCACCATGTGAGTGTATGCAGGCAAGCGTGTGACGACTGTAATTAAGCCATCACAGCCAGGTCATTAATCACACCCTTAATCCAGCCTTTCAGGTGACTTCCTGTAGGCTCACTGCCAATCCAATTAATGGAAAATTAATGATGAATTATATCTTATCCTCAGTTTGGATAACACATTTGCCTGAAGCTTTGTTTTTTTCGTGATCCATGTTTATTAATATTCTGTCACACAGTGCATATAAACAGTAGGTTGCATTGTGCTGGAGCCTATTAAAGTGACTCTTGATCACGGCCAATTTTTACCCTAAAGTCAAACTAAAACAATCTAAAAATTATTATTCATGATTGAAATCAAAAGCTTGGGATTTATTCAAACTCTACAACATCACTAAGAAGTTCCAGATGTGTTTGATATATTTTTGATGCTTCCTGGCACCGTGACAAATGATCTGAAGGATAGATAGACGGGTGCCTTGAATTATGCCTTTATTAAACAATGAGAATGTCAGTGTGCAGCACAGTGATAATCCTTTCATTTCTCGAAGATCTCTCGGTAGTTTAAAGAGGCAACTATGAGACGGTACGTTAATGTTTAAAACAGTTATGGAAAAAAAATAACATAAAATTTCTCTCTAGGATATATTCCTCTCTTTGTAAAATTAATCACACATCAGGAAAAGTGCTCCAAAGAGCACAAAACCACAAACACAGTCAAGAGATCCAGTCCATCCATGTGAAGTAGCTGAGATGAAGCAGTGCATAGTTCTCTGCCTGTGTCATCACTCATCTGCTGACCAAAATGAAACACAGACTTAGCCCTAATCAAATTTAGGCAGATTTTTTTTTTTTTTTAAATCACTTCCTGTACTGTTGTTCGGGTAAATTTTTAGACCCAAAAGCATGAAAGAAGACCATGGCATCAGCTGCTAGTTTCTGAAGTCCTGGTTTAAAGCCTTTCAACCCTTCTTCTTTTGATGAGAAAGGATTGGTCTGTCTTTGAAACTGCATACTTATTGGTTAATGACTTGCGATCGATAACTCATTAGTCAAAGAACGTGCAGTCCCAAAAAGATGGATTGAGACCAAAAACCCAACAGTTTCCTGTTGGGTTTTTGTGTTTGTGGAGGTCATGTTTGTGGAGGTCATGACAGAAAGCTGTTTTCCCATATACTTCCATAGGACTGATAGTCTTTTTGCACTGGGTTAATTGTTCCAACCTCAACAATTAAACCATGTTTTATTATGTCTAGAGGGTAAATTAGAGAAAAAACAATGTTCTCTTAACATGGCATCCTTGGGTAAACATAAATGTCAGCATGTTAGCTCAAAGCATTGTCCCGTGACGCGTATTTTAACTGGCACTTGCCCTTTATATGAATCTTTTAAAGACTACCAATATGAGTTCAGCACTTCCAAACTGCCTTTTATTTATTTGTTTGTTTTTAGGTTAAAAGAGTGGTGACTATTAAAGAAACAGGCGGTCAAAGTAAATTCTCCTGAGCCTGTTTTGATGTCATGGAGATTTGATTAAGACCACATGAAAGACTTTTTCGTGGAAATGCTAATAATTCACAGAAATCTGAATCAAGCGGTTTAGTTAATCAAATGCTATGCTGTTTTTTGTTTTTTTTTAATCACTCAAGATGTTTGGAAACCACTTAATCTTGCTGATATAATATGTTGCAAGAGAAGTTCAGCTATGAGATAAGGGACTCCAGGGTGTCCTGTCACGCTGCTTAGCACTGATTTGTCCTAAAAGATTAATCCTGTGGCCTTATTATAGAGATGGGGACTTAAAACTAATGAACCAGTGACAAACTGAACATCATCAAAAACAAAGAATCAGTGTAGTTTGAGTGCGCTGATCTTTAAATATGCTCAGGAGTTTCTATAAATACTGGGGACAACTGCTAGAAAATATACTTTCAGGATGAGGTCTGAATGGTTGAAGTACGAACAAAGGATGGTTTGTGTGTTACTTGCATGCAGACTGCGTGTCTCCTGGTTCATATCCTCTGATGATACACACAAGATACTAATTTTGAGAAAGACACTTAACTTTGAGACTGCCCTTTCGAGGTAGCAGCCTCAGGTAACTGTAACTGCCAAGTATTTAGAGGTCACAGCATTCTAAGACACTCTACTGCTGTATCTAATGTCGTCATCCACACTTGAAGAGCTTGACAATCAGCCTTTTTTCTTCTTTACTACAACACCAATAAAAACTTGGCTCCAATAAGCACATGATGAGATGGTGACAGTAAGAGAGACAGTGGATCCACACAACAAAGTAAAATTCCCAATTGTTATTTATAATGTTTACACAAGAAGTGATTTATATAACCTTAAATTAAAGCAGGGATGGAACTGAAACTAAATGGTAAAGAAAAAGGGAGATATTCCTTAAAATAGTAGATATGAAAGCAACAGGCGTGATGAAAAATGTAACAATATTGTAACAAAATAAACTAACAAAAAAGAGAATTAACTTATTCTGACCTAACTATGATTAAACTGACATTAAAACAAAATCAAGAGGTTTGGGGAGGGGGTCAAAATAATACAAAAGCACCTGAGCTGCCATTAGTGCTAAATTAATATTGATAATTATGGATTGCAGTTATAGGGATTTTTTTTTTATGATATAGTAGTGAGGACAGTATTTAATGATTGTAATGGTTATACAAAAAATCCTAATTGAAGATTTAAGAAATCAAATCTATTTATCATGGCTGCTATGTCTTAAGTAAAACAGCACATGATATCATAATAGGCTTTTTTCTCCAAGTGTTTCAAAACCACCCCCATGACTTGACATTTATTGATGTCAAGTCATACATTTTGTTTATTTATTCTAAATTGATCTGTAGCTCAAAATTTGGCAGACACATGAGGCAATAATACTGTGGAGGCATGAAATATAACCAAAATGCAAGAGTTAACTGGTAATGTTACAAAGGAAGGCTGCTTAAATGTACAATTACCACCCCTCTCCTTACCCTGCCTCCAACCAAAAACTGAATACCTGCACAAAATGACATTTATTCAGATTTGAGTTGCATAAAAAA